AAACGTGAGTCACTACAAGTGTTTAACCCCAGTTGAGGAATTTTAGGAAGTGCTCATTGACGACCATACCAGAATCCGAGCAAAATATCAGTCAGTTCCAGAGACAGCAAGTTAGTAGTAGACTACTGGAAGTCTGCTTCAAGTAAATTATGACATAAAATAACATTGATGATACATGTCTTACTTTTGATAAGATTCACATCTCAATCACAATTTTATCGAAATTCTGTGTGAGCTCTTCATTCTTCAACGTACTTTGTTCAGTGTTGAAATGTTATGATTACAAATTTTAAGTATGAGAGACAATAACAATAAAATGGTGATTAAAGTATAAAATGCTATCAAAGTGTGAAATCGTCACGATTCGTCTGAATAAATAGTAAACCTTTCTAGAACAATGTGATATATTATTAATAAAGAGGAATTTAATTTTCTAAAACCTATGGGTTCCGAGTACCCTCATTTATATGGACTACCTAAAATTCACAAACCTAATGTTCCTTTACGTCCAATTCTATCAATGTGCAGATCACCTACACATAATCTGGCTAAATGGTTAACAAAGTTGTTGGACCCTATTCGAAGACATCTATTTGACCTTTTATTTTTATATATAAATGCTCTTAACAAGTATATGTGTGACCAGATTGTTCGAAATGTATTGTGCTAATATATCACATAGTTCTGATAATCTTCGACTTCTAATATCATTATCGAAATTTATCAAAAGGACTAATTGTTTTAACTTTCTAGAACAGTTTCACATTGCTTAGAATTTAGAAAATCATTTCTAAATTTGGAAACAAGTTGAATCCAATGGCAGGCATTTCAATTACTTCTAAAGAACATGTAATAAATTTATTTTAGACTGAAGCTATGCGAAACTATTTTAGAGAAGTTTACTATATATTGAGACAAATTAATCAATCTTGTAGATGCATAATGCTACAAAATCCTTCTGATTTTCACTATTAAATTAAAATGACGCTAATTACTGTTACTGGAATTATTCGCTTATCATGTGTTATTCCATAACGATTGTTGCGTCTTAACTAAATTTATGCCAAACAACCATTCAAATAAAAGTTATAATCTGATTTCATCAGTGGTAACACGCATTAAAAAACAGATACATTTTAACAGTAGGGGGTTTGTAAAAATTATAACTTTTAGCAGTCGGATTCACAAGTCTGTCTAAGATAAACCAGCACTGGAGACCTGCAAACACTAGATGGGTGTTTCTTCCTAGTATGGGACTCCACAGCAGTGCGCATCCACGATCCCTCATGCGGAACTCGAACCCGGGACCTTCGGTCTCGCGCGCGAATGCTTCACCTCTAGATCACAGAGCTGGCATCCAACTGTGTTAATGTCGAACTTTAATCGACCCATATTTTGAATATTATACCAAGTAACTGTTGACGACAATTTCTTATTTTCTGTTATTATATTACATTCTAGTTTTATATACTGTCTGGTTCATAATAGAGTAGTCAGACTACATTATGGTTGTCTTTGGAATCGTCTGTCAATAACATCGCTGGTCACATGCTCTAAATTTGGCAATTCTGGTCATGATCAAATGTCGTGGGAGACAAAAATAGTACGGACTAGTCAATAATATATAGAGATGAGTAAAATAAGCACTACAAACAGTAGTTTTAAGATTTAGTATATATGATCAGATCATTGTCTACATTTGAATAAAAGAATAGTCAACATTTTTAGTCAAATGATTGATATTGATACCAAGATAAGCTGGCGTGAACGCCAGAGCTAAATCCATTTAGTAGTCTGTTCAATTTCACTAGGATAGAAAGTAGATAAGAGAACAAATTTCTATGGTTTCAACAAGGTAACGGTTATTATTACGCTGTCTAAGCAGTTCACGAAAAAAACGTACCGCACTATATTAACAACCTAACTACTATTTCAACATTCTCGATTTGCTTAGTTACTTTCTCCATATCATATTTTCATCGTCTTTAGTGTAAAGTATTAATATTGACAAGTAATTTTAGACAATATAAAACTTCTACATGCCTTTAAATAGATAAAAATACATGCTATTACTCCATTCTATACTTATCATCTCGATATTTATTACACAATTTGGCCCATTACAATATCATTATGAAAGTTTCCCAATGAGGAGTTGGAAAAATATTCGATGGCTCGTATGAACTTTATTCATGTGTATCTAGTACGTATTATTCCCGTGGATATAATGAAAATTCATAAAAATATCATAGCGTAACACTAATTTATTAATTCCAAATTTGAAATCAAAAAGACTTAATGAACAACGGTTACTCCACTGAATTTGAAACATATATTGATTTTGTAAATTTCTTCCAAGTGGTGAACTGTTCTCAAGTAAGGTGATGAATTTTAACTGTTTGTAAGCAGATAGAGTAGTTTTAGTCATTCATTCAACGCCATTGATACTGTCAAAGAATTTCACGCCATCCACAGATTTGTTTTTATTTAAATTGTGACCACAATTTAATCTTAGCAGATCGAGTAATTAAGAACATCACGTGGACGACCGGGAAATTACTGGTACAAAAGTATGTTAATGCATGTGTGTATACTTAGTAGTCTACACGAAGTCAGTAGTTATAGTCAATTTCATCTAACATACATCGGAAGCACGATAATATACTAAATAAAATTAAGATAAACTATACTTATGACAAGTTATTTCCGTAATTTAGTGGTTTATAATCTCTTATCGTTGTAAAATGTATTTACAAGAATTCCTGGAATTCTAATGAAGTCGGTGTAGATTTACTACGTTGGAAATTAGACAGGTACTATCAATAAAAATGGATGATGGTTATCCAACATCATGAGCAAACTGAATTGGAAATGTAAACTACTGAGTGACAGCTTGATAATAATCATTTGAGATGTCTACCATTAAGTGAGTATTATTTATAAAACCAGTCCACAAAAATCTGTTTATATAGGTTGAAAAGGCTTCTGTAGTAACTAATCAGAGCAGTAAACACGCAAATAAAAATAGATGAAATATAAAAGTAAATTATTCTGTTAGTTGTCAACATCACGTCTGTATATTTTTTAAAATGAACTACCACTCACATAGTTATAGAGTTATGAAGACACATCCCATTATCAAGAAACAAGTTATTGACAATCGAGTGTAAACTCTATCGAAAGCGACAAACAAGATTCAAATATACTCCAACGACATTTTTTTAAGGATTACTATTCATCTCAAAGATCAATACTGTGTGACTGATTGTTGGTAGATGCAAAAATTATGAAGTATATTATAAGACAAATTCCGAATTCTGCACGTCTCTATTTAGTGCATTATAGTAAATCATTGAATAAAGATAGTTCTAAAAATCCAAACTTAATACATCCTATATTGAACAAAAGATTTTTTAATAAATGTAAAGCAGAGAACAGTGTGCAAACTTATGTATTATTTTAATTAATTAGTATGTTTCTTTCATTCAAGTCGATTCAAAATAGAATATGGTCAGGCTAATAAAATTATTGGTCGATCGTAATAATGCTGTTCACTTATAAAAAACAAATTATTATTTGTCAATACTAATATAATGCATTATTAATTAATGACTGACTTTATTAGGTAGTAATTAGAAAAAGAAACTGGTGATTTATAACATATTTGTAGCAATATATCTAAAACTATTTATGCTGCATCACTTAGCAGATGAAGAGCAGTTTTGATTAATTCGTCATTTACATTTTATGGGAAAGTGTAATTGCGTAAGTAAGTAAACACACAAAAATTATAAATGAGCCATTCAGATGTAAGCAAGCTAGTACAATTTTTCAAATCAGTAAATATTAGACATAGATAATATTTAATTCACTTGGTATTGTTTAACTTGAAACTTTCCATTGATGTTTTAGGATTGAAATTGATCAGTCTCTTATTGGCATATGTGCATACTGTGCGTATGCATATGCCTCGATATTGCCTTAATTTACAAGCATTATAAGCAAAGATGGATAATATCTGTTTGAACAAAAATACTGGAACATTTAGTCTGATTGCAGTGGAATATCATAATAGAGAACAGAGAGAGAGAGAGATTTCTCAACAATAACATTTTGAAGTTGTAAAGTAACTTTAATTGGGATTCTACACTTATGATTACATCAACAACGGTTATATTAACACCAATTGATTTATCAATTATTATACCTGACATGTTTTATAAATGTACCCATCTAACCAACAGTTTGGTGCCTTTTATCAATTTGGAGAATTAGTCAGTTACACATTCTTAGGATTAAAATCAGTTTAAGTATTCTAATATGTATTTCAAATGAAGACAGAATTATTCAGTATTACGAAAATCCATAAGTGAACAATCGAAAAGTATATATCGTTGTTTTTAAAGCACTGGAAATATTTGTCTGTAAATATGTTGATATATCAAAAATAGTAGAATTTGTTAGTAAATAACAATACGAAGAAAACAACTGAAATAAATAGAAACAAAATAATAAACAAGCAAACAGACAAAAATATATGATTAACAATTTAAAATGATAATTACAAGTGTAAATTGGAAGACTAGAAAAGAAATAAAGGATATTAAAGGTAAGAAAAGCATGAAAACGCTACTCAAGAATAAAGATTTAAGTTATTTACTTTGTTCTAACAAAAATAATAATAATAATTTGCTCATTAATATCACAGATTGTGGTCTTTTTTTTCGAAATACTACTAACCGGGTGATGTGTAATACGGTAGCAAACGTGTAGACACACATATGCAACAAACCAGGCTTTTTTTTAGTAAAACACTTACAAATGTACACAAAAAGCACAAATCCAGTGATAAATTAGCTGAAAGTTACGATCATCATTGTTATCATGTGAATAATTAATTTGTTTTATCCTAGAAATTATACTAAACAAATGGTTATCTATTTCCTGTGATAAAAAAAGCAACAAACAAATGAGTAAAAATTCGGATATGTGCGTTTCCTTCACAAATGTTCGCGTGGTAACCAAGATTTCATAAGATGATAATGTTTCATACGAACTTTAGCATAATCCTAAAAAAAAACAAATATAAAAACAGATTAGAATATTTCAATAATTAGAAGGATAATCATGTATTGTATGGAAGCCCTCTATCTCAAAGCGGAGATTATTTTGTTCACCGTTTTGTCATTGACTATTTGCAAAAGTGAATTGGAAAATTTGCATAATAATACGTACATAATATATTACAGTTTAATACGTATTTTTCAAGTGAGAACCGTTACATTCAAAATTCGATTCCCCAATACCATAATGTGATGTCTCAAATCATGTAGCAACATATATTTTGAAGTTCCCAAAACGCTCAACAGAACATTTCAAATCTGATTATAACTCAAGGCTTCTTTTGGTTATCGTCGACGTAAAAAAATGAATAGATCTACTTGGTCAAAATTAATTCAGATAACAGTCTGGTCACTAAGACAGCATGTTTTATCAGATAAAAAAGGTTGACATTTTAAACAATAGCTGAAAAACAATACTCAGTGACTGAAGTACACTGATAGCGTTTCGGTTACGGCTTATCATTATAGTGAGTAACTAGTTAGTTCAATTGAATTTTTTTCACTAACGTCGGAGTAATCCATGTGACAAATTGTATCCTGAAGATTTAGTGTATGGTAATAAAGAAATATAATTACAGAAATAGACATCCCTGTATGAAAATAGTTAATATCTATGAGAGTGAGGTGAAAGATTAGTATAATACAAGAATAACGAACCAACAGAGAAAAAGCATCTTTGCTCTTAGTAAAACCGATAGATGGCTGCTGTAAAGAATTTTGTCACAAAGACAAAATTCCAAATATAGCAAAAAGAAAGTAGTTTACGGAGTTCAAATACCCCAACAGTTTTGTATTTCACCTGAAGTCGAATTTGATTGACGAAATAGAGAGGTAACTGTTTTGAACCATATCACATATGGCAAATATTTTCTCACCAATGCCGTTATTATTCTCGTTCAAATAAATATTCTTACGAGTTAGCGCTATCTCAGATATGAACATATGCATAAACAACGTACTCCTAAAAGATACTGAAAGAATTTGATTAAACTAGTAAAGACAATTCACATCAGAACTGTTGAATAACTGTGAGTAGACAACTTACTATTTTAAGAGCCAAGTTGATAAAACCACTAAATTAGAAGGTTAACTAGTTAAAAATTAAACATAAAAACAGACTGATACTTACAACTAAGTTGTTCAGTGAATAATCAAATGATTGATTCCCATTACATAGCACCAAATGTATAACAATGATACTTAACATAAAGTGTGCTTCATTCAATACGAATTATCAAATGTAACAATGACTAATCACCTGAAGATGTATAACATCTACCCCATCTCATATTCTTGATATGACTAATCTCTGCCTCTTATATACAGGACAATAAATTATCTTAAAATGCAAGGAATACACTTTCACAGATTGAAATCATAAGTCAAGTGAAGCTAGATCACCATGGGAAACCTGGAATCACTGGACGGCCGTTTCGTCCTAATATGGGACGCCTCAGCAGTGCGCATCCACGATCCCACACCCAGCGGGATTCGGACCCAAGACCTGCCGGTTTCGCGCGCGAGCACTTAACCATTAGACCACTGAGCCGGCATCCAACGGTGTTAATGTCTAACTTCAACTAATCCACGAAGTTGCACCACTGAACGCCATTGTCTTCAGTGAGCTGATATCTCACAACAGACCTGGTTGAACTCCACTGGTCACGGCTTCTCACTAGAACTCCAGGAGTACTACTAGGACGAAACGGCCATCCAGTGCTTCCAGGTTTTCCATGGTGGTCTAGCTTCAATTGTCTCATGATTTCAATCCGTGAAATTTCTAAAATCTCCACAAACCCCTTCTGAGAATACACTTTCATTATTTACATGGTAAAACATACATACCATAAAATCAAACTGAATACTTGATAATTGACTTTGAACAAGTGACCATGCAGACCAAAATAAATGTGATAATAATGAACCATAGATTGTTTCAATCCATAAATTTTCATAATCACAATCCTCTTCATGATGATTAGCAAATCGAACAACATTATTATTATTATGTTCATAATTATCAACACAATTGAAATTACCATTTCTTTTATTAAAATGATCATTTTCTACATTTGAATAAGTTTCAGTTAGATATGCTTTCCAAAAAAGCCTCTATATAAATACGTTTAAAAAAACAATTGATTTAATGAAATCAGACAGAATATATATGCATATACTTTTTTCGAAAATGTTATACGAAAGTGTTTAACTCTAGTCAATAACTAAACGAACTCTATTTAAGAAAGTAATGATAAATCATTTGGAATTCATCAGTTAAATCACACAGTATGACTTGTGTGTTATTACTAAATACAAACTGTACTGGACTATTCAATGAGATTATGTTGAAAAAAAGTTGATCCATGGTTATTATGAGATTATAATTATTAATACAATAAATATTCTAGTATAGAAAGAATGCTACTACATATACACTATATATCAATCATATTCCGATTATTCACATACTACATTAAGTAGTACCTAAACAATAAACACGGTGTTAACATTTACATTCTGTCGGATTTATCACTTATTAATACCATACATATAAATCAATAACATTAGATGTTGGGTTAGTAATCTAAAGAAACATTCCGTCACAATTTTACAAGTCGAGATACCATAGAGAAAAATATTTCCAACTGTAATAAATTCTTTAAGTTATGACTCATCCAAAGTGACATCATAAATTACATTTAACAATAAGTGGTACACAAATAAACAAATAAATGCATCAGATTAGAAAAATCAATGGTATTTGTTTATTTATATTGAGATCATGAACCGATCAATGTTAGACCACCACTGAAAACCTGGGAGCACTAGATGTTCGTGTCGTTCAAGTATGGGACTCCTCCACAATGCGCAGGGATCGTACCCAGGACGTTCGGTCACGCGTGAACGGTTAACCATTAGACCACAGAGCCGGCATCCAAAGGTGTTAGTGTCTAACTTAAATCAATCCACTATATTGTGCAACCATTTTCAATTTTCTTCGGTGGATAACTGCCTCAAACTAGACACGATCGGTCACGACTTCTCAATAGAACTCCGAGAATTACCGCTTGAAGGTAGTCACTAGTGAACACATGATGGCGATGAGTATAGAGTTGTGGAGCTTGTTGAATTTTTGTTGAGATTATCGGCTGATCAATGTTAGTTTTATTGTTAACAAAGTGAGAATATAAGTTCCAAAAAACGTCTTAATTGAAAGTTTCCTACAATAATTTTTTGAAACGATGGTTTACATTATGGACTAGATTTATCTAGAAAATCGCGTAACCATTTATTGTACAGCTGTTTTATTTTAGTAAGATTTTGTTTAGCCGTACGTAACGATGAACCTAACAGAGATAGAGCCCAACACTATCATACTTTACAAAGTGCATGTTTTGTTTTAGATAGTATGCTAAAAACTGAATATATTGCGCTATTATCACTCACTGCCATAGAGGATACCTGTCTAGTTCCCATCTCAATTTCAGTTTTCTATAAAATGAATTACTGATACCTTTAATGATTGATTACTGAGCAGTGATAAATTGTTATTGAGTAGTCTTTAGTATTGATCGAATTTTATCGAATACCGACATCTCTTAGTTGTTTACGATATAAAAATCTAAACAAATGGAGTAATATTTATCAGATGCATAGGTGAACAACTCAGTCTAAATGTTTACACATATTTGCATTCATCAATAACCTTTTTTGAACAACATTCAGAACCATAGAAAAAAGTTACCATTGGAAAATGATATTCCACCTCACAGATAGCTTACATCATTGTGATTTTTCTATACATATCTAACGGGACGCTTAGTTGTTTCAGAAATAAAACAAACCAATGAAGAGATAGAGTGCTAATATTTGGTAGGGACTACTTTTCCTTTTTTTAAAAAGTACAATTTAGGAAAGATACATTAATAATTGAACAACACTGGCAAACCAAAAATAACTAACTTGTTTTGAACGATCTGGGTAATTTTCAATGTTGTGAAAATAATATGGTTGATCAGGGTTCGTGTAATCATAACACCACTCATTAAAATGATTCCCAACATCAAAAGCACTGTAAAAAAGGAAAGACACATAAAAAATGGATCATCTAAAAGCAAAATATCACGGAATAATCAAGAACTAAAATAAACAAGGTTAAGAATCATTTAGATGAAGAATTTAATGTTCAATGGGATTCCCTCAATTTAGATTTCAAAGATTATTAAAAATGTTGCTTCAAAAGTATGTTTAATGTAAATGATGTAGTATTTGGTTACATATGAACTAACCAAAAAATTCTTACGGATCACAATGTCTGAGGTTTATTTTCTTAAGATTGGTATATAATTTTAAGTGTTGGACATAGTAAAAAACATAAAAATTATGAAGACATGTGAGTTTCTTTAGCAAAGTATAGGTCATAAGCGTTACATACAGAAATTTAATAAGCTAATCGATTCAATTATCAGGATATGAAAATTGATTTTTGAAAATCGTAAAAAGTTGGGTCAAAATTATTAGCGATAAATATCAAGAAATGATAATAAATTATTGTATTTCATTTGACTAAAAATGCATCCTTTTGATCATACTAATTACTCCGTACTTGTTAAGATAGTTAATCACGTTCATTCTTTATACACTTGTGACCCGGCCCATTTGTCTACTTAACTTATTAAGCAGGTGGATGATCTAAGTCCATTCGACAACCGATAACTTTTCCACACAACACTACGATTAGTCGCTAGATCAACTGAATCCCTATGTCATTGCTACAACAATCCATACAACATACAATTCGACACCTAATATTTTTTGCATTATCCAGACCTTACACATCTGATATGCTCGTTATAGTTGGAAATAGATCGATTCCTGAGATATTTCGCATTAGACTTTTAGTATCACGTTGACAGGTTATGTAAGGTGATTTAGTCTAAAATGTTTATAAAGTTAGTCAAGTAAACTTATTCCCTCATATTTATAAAAATGTGTATGGTTCAAAATAGTTCATAAGCTCAGTAATAAAATCAGACAACATTGGTTAAGTACTTGAAAGCTACGTAATGTAGTAGAGTGGATTATATTTCACTTCATTATAAATAAGACAACTGACAAGGTAGTTGGAGTATCAACGATCGGTCTTTGTTTGGTTGCACTGAAATCCTGTTAATTTAAACGCATACATTTATTGTAATCAGATAAAAGGACTGTTGGAATAAAACAATCAGAAGTATATATTTTATTAATCCCTTTACCTAGACTTAGTAATAATCAGTCGGTAGGTGACACGTGTTATTCCGAACCTGGTCAGTGAATTACTGTCAAAAAGTTGGTAAACGTTGGTGATAATTAAGTTTTGTAACTCAAGAAATCTTTTTTGTAAATAAAAGCTTTATTGAGCATTACATAGTATCCCTATTTGCGTACTGGTCAGTCATCATGTCCTTAAGATGAACATTGTAAACAATGATGCAAACGATCAATCCATAAGTAGTAGGTAGAGACGAATTCAATATCGACAGAATAAACTATCCGTTAGATGTGAAAAAATTTCAATAGTTCACCTCTTTTTAAAGTATATCTTGATGTTATTTTCTAGCAAAACAATGAATGATTCACACCTAAACTATCCAGTTCAAAGAATGTAACTTCACTGAAAAATTCTTCCTCAGTTAGAAATCTTCATAATCTCGACAGCAGATGTAACAAAATTTGAACGACATAAATTGTATGTTAAGACTACGTTTTCTTTGATAAACCTAACCATAAATAGTTTAGTTTGAGTATGTTATATTATATGTCAAACTATGAAAACGTCTCCAGATAAACAGACGAAGAATTTGAGGCATAAAATCTCATTAATAATAATAATAATAATAATAATAATAATAATAATAATAATAATAATAATAATAATAATAATAGTGATAATAATAGGCTAACATAATGTATTCGAAGTTTAACAATTTCAATAAAACATGAAAGTGTAAATTAAAAAAAAGTATAACTATGATTTCCAATTACGTACCGATAATTATAACCAGAGTATTCGAAGTCGATTGGTAGAATACGATAGACCTTATCAACTTTCGGATCATTTAAAAGAAGTAGGTTATCTACCAGAAGAAAATAAAAACAAGGTAATAATAATTTTGTATTAACATGAACAAGAAGGGCTTTAGAGTCCCCCAAATGCCCTAGTATGACCGACAGTTGGGAGATTCCTCTCTACCGATAGAAATGCTCTCATACGGCCATGTGCTTATAGCTTTTGCGGATGAAGTCCTTATCACTGCCTATACACAGCAAGGGTGTTGTTCATGAAAATGACGGAACGAGAAATCCTAGGACCAAAATTGGGTCGGTGGATATGGAGGATCTGGAAACTCTGATTCCGAACCATAAAATTATTTATGGGCTCCGGAATTCGGAGAGAACGAATGAAATGTGAACCCATTTTGGTTACCAGCTACCAGGAAACTGCACATTCTGACCTTGCTTCAACGCCTTGTGTATCAGACCTCTAGATCAAGGGCTCGGAGAGTATCCTGCTAAAGAAACCACCGGCTTCAGCTAGCTCTCTGCGACAGTATTCCACTCCACACACACAAATATGATAGTTAGTAATTTCGAAAAAAGTGATTAGTACAGAAACATGTAGAATGATGAAGATAATGTTTAACTGGAAAAAATAGAAAAAAATCAAAGCTAATGTAACAAATAAAAAATGGGATAATTCGTATGGATGTCGATTATATCGAAATGTCTTATCAACTTCAAGTTGCATCACTAAATCAATATCAATATACATTTTGAGTTTTTTTTTATTTGAAAACATACATATTGGTACAAGAGTGCGCTAAATATATATGCGCCACACAAAACAATGAGAAGTTAAAGAGAAGGAAAAAGAAAAAGGGTAAGGAGCGCAAAAAAAAAAGAATAATAAGGAAGAGATTGGTGTAAGGTTGTGTAGTAATAATAATAGAGGTAATAATGGGGGAACGGAAAGGTACAATCAGAAGAAATCCTTCAGTTAAGGAAGATACAACCAATTTTTTTAATGAAGAAAGTAAAAGAAGGTTACAGCAGCATCGCCACTGGCTTCTATTCTGAGCCATATCTCATAACGTCTCTAGCTACTGTGTTGCACCATCTCTCGGACACTAGCTAGGGATTTGTGAAGGATCAACACAAGCCAGTCCTTTGCAGCTTCCTTTCATGCCACGACAGCATGTCATACACTGACCACCTCTCCGCTTTTTCCAACCAGTCCCAGTGTTGGCAAATAATGCACGACGTGGAATTCTCTGGGACGACATTCGTAGAACATGTCCAAGCCACCGAAGTCGGTGTTTCAAGATGGTGACACCGATTGCATTATCGTCTCTCTGCCCGAACACACGATGCCGAATCTCTGCATTACTAACATGATGTTGGCACTGGATGTCAGCAATCCTTCGGAGACAATGATGATCGAACACAGAGAGTTGTCTAACGTCCTCAACTTGGAGAGGCCAGGTTTCACAAGCGTAGAGCAAAACTGCTCTCACTGACGAGTTTATCATGCTTTCGTGTGCGGGCTGAGATACTACACGGGTGCCCAAACAGAAGCAGATGGTTTTCTTAGGGGGCTACACCCTGAGCCTTTGACTTAAAGGTCTAACCCACAAGGCAGTGAAGCATCGTAAGGAGATGCAGTCCCATGGTAGCCGCTGACCAAGGAATTGGTTCATACGCCATTTGTTCCCGCAGGATACTGGAGCCCATGTGCACCATTGTTTTGGTTTGGGATCCGGTTAAAGCGCGTGACATTCGCTTTTCGTCCTCTCATTTTCGTAAACAACACCCCCGCCACGAGAAGGCAGTGAGTAGGACTTCCCTGGCAGAGGCTGTATACGCGTGGCCGTGTGAGAGTATTTCGAGAAGGAGGGCGGACCCACCCCGCTCTCGGAGTGAAGATAGTTGTGATAATTAATGTGAAGGAATAGAGCTTACTTATTTAAGTTCATGACTTGGATTGTGCTTCAATTCATCTACATTGGATTAGACTACCTTATATTTACAACTAGACGATACGGAAAAAAAGTGGGCTTCGAAGCCAAATAAAGAAGAAAGTATGTTTGATCACTGATATGAACAAATCAATGCAAAATTTAATGCTTATGAGCGGTCAGATTTCTTAGATGATAGGAAGGTAAAAAGAGCTTATAAAGAGAGAGGAAAAAGACATTAACTTTAACTTGTCGCGAAATGAAATGAGTCTCGAGAATTTTACGGATAAAAAGGAGTCAGATAAGAAACAAGATTGTAGAGAAAATAATAGCTGACAAACAAATTACAAATATTATTTCACTAGAGAATACGATGACTTAAATAAGACGGAACAATGTTCTATGAGACATGTTATCAAGCATTTTCACTTTGAAAGAATAAAAACACAATTTTTTATTTGGCAATAATTGTTCCATATTTTTTCCACATTTTATATGTGAAAGGATTATTGAAATTCATTTTAGCAAATGAAACGCCACTGCCAGTAGAGAAGTGGCTTATTGCTTAAACCATCAGCTTTAAAACTATAGGTACCAGGTTCAAACCTCGCATAACCATGGGTTTAAGGATCCGGGCATTATCACTTGAATTTTTACACAAAAGTGTGACTCTTAAAGCTGAGTAGTCAAAGATATACGTAGTAAATGAATTACATGAACAGTTAGGTGTTGTAAAGTATCCAAAAGGAAATCCTGCTCGGCCTACGTTTCGTTTTAGTTGGTACTCGACAACAAGGGGTGCTTGTAGTTTAGAGACGACAGATGCAACCAGTGGGATTCGAACTCCTGTCATCCAGCTTCACAACTTGAGACGTTACTACTTAGACAGTTGAATTACGAGTAACTTTCTTTAGAACTGAGACACAATTAATTGACAGCTAAATAGTAGTGGTCAACATCATGTTCGCCCAGTCCCTCAGTGCAGACTGACTTCTGTCAATCAGATTGCAGTACGGTCACTAGTCTAGTTAGCATTATTTACTACCAGTAACACATTTATAATCAAAGGTCAGTTGCGGCACGAATACCTAATCGGTACTACTATTGTAGGAGTCTTGTGTTATCGTACTAGGTTTCTGAATCCCCTCACATTACAGTTAACTTTTCGGTAAAAATGAATACCTTTAGGTACTACATCTTTCATTTAAAATAATGAAATGTTAAACATAAAAACTGATGGGCTATTTATTAATGTGAGAAGTTTTAGCATGTAAAACAGTAAGATTACTAAAATTTGCAATGTAACATTTAGAGGAAGGAAGCGAGAAAAACAAGCAAGTCAAAACAATAACAAATATGATTCAAAAAAATAATTCCTCTCAGAAAAGCAAGATTTCTAGAAAATACCACAAGATATAAACGGTAATAACAAGAAATACAGCTTAACTCAGATGAGATTTATAGCTGTATTGTAAGTTATGTTTTACGATGAAGTCACGCAGTTGTTGTTCACACACCCCACATACAGACAAAGGGATTATATATATATATGAACTATATTATAATAATGGTGAAACATAAATCTAAATAGTTTAACGCCAAATTTTCGGATAAACTTTTTTCCATCTAATCTCGTGACACTAGAATAGTAGCGTAGTTGAATTAAATGTTTTTGTTAGTCTTACTTTGATCAACAAAATTCAGTAGTGTTGTTAGCTTTTTTAGGTTCCGTGTTTATGACGTAGTTAACTCATGTAAATCACAACTCATAGAAAAAAGAATATGGATGTTTTTGGTTGTTATTTTTAATATTTGCAAATTATTTACAATTTCCGCCGCTGAATTCGACATATCTCATAAGTGGAGCTCGATTGTACGGAGCATAAATAAGGAACGCAACGCAAACAACGGAAGATGTACAATAATATTGTGCATCGATTGAAGTTAGACTCGTACGATATCGGATACCGGCCCATTGACTTAAAGGTTAAGCGTTCGCATACGAAACCAAACGCCCTAGGTTTGATCGCCTCTGGTAAGGTCGTGGGTGCACACTGCTAACGAGCTCCACGCTAAAACAAAACACATGTCCAGTGCTTCCTAGAATTCAGTGGTTGTTTAATTGATATTGGTTTGTGATTTCAACAAAATCCTCACTATAAAATTGCATGTTTGAACTCTACCTCATCAAGTTTGATTTAGACAACTGGACAGTATCACTAGCCCCAAAATAACAATGTCTAGGTCAATCCTGATTGTTTTAGCCTGAACGTGAGTTGAATAAACTCACGAGAAACTCATATATTTTAGCATCATATACTGCAAGTGAGACGTATTAAATCCTAAGGAACGGTGAAATCCGTCTTCACAAAGAAATTTAGTAAGATGACACATAATGCTTTAAAATTCAAAAATGCAATGTCTGTATAATTAATTTTAATACAATCAAAGAAACACTGTAACTAATTTAAAAATATTCTTGAAGATTAAATAACAAACTGTTGGAATAGTCTGAATAAAATCTATTCATATAGAATACTATCTAATTAACGCCTGAAAAGAAGTATCCATTTGATTTAACTAGTGATCAGCACGTAAAAGACGTTCTTTCAGAAGCCATATCAAAATAATTAAGCTATCGTGTGTTAAAAATAAAAATTTCCGGAAGATAATTACTTATTCAGATAACGAATTCATAAAGATAGCAGACGTATATACACAAAAATGCAGTAACTTGAAGAAGAGTCACATAATGAAATTTCTACAAAAAGAAAAATATAAGCCAACTTGAATTATAAAACTTGTGATTTACTTAAGAGAACAAGAACACTGACCTTGTGTCGAAATAAGTTTAGAAGATACAATACAACCAAAAGAATTTAAATAAAACAATATTAGTGAAGTCATCAAACCTGGAGACGGAAATATTCACAAAATCGCCACTTCACCAAATTAAACTTTATTCAAAAACGATATCGGATGATGAGCGAAGGCTACGTTATAGTCAAATACATATATATAATCTGGTCAGTCTACGTTATCCTTTACGAAGCTAGACTGGAAGGTGCTGTCTTTAACATATCAGATATCCTTTGATGAATGATTTAGGTAACTAGTTCCGTAAGAAATAAGTCAGTCAGTCACTAGTAACGTGGATCCTAGAACATAAATGAGTCCGGTCCAAGTTGTCACCACACCACATGAGCAAAGCGATATCAGATTATCAAGACACATTCTAAGGCAGTACAACTAGTAACAGTATTAGTAATAGTAGAAAATGTTAGGTATATACAATGTGATTTAAGAATGAATCTATGGAATAAAAAACACAAGATAAATCTAAAACTCAAGTTTTAAGCGAAGATAAAGAATGAATACATCTGTACTATTGTGACAAATGCGAACCCTTATCAACCATTTCCAACGATTGGTCACGATAAGCACGTGGACCATTACCAGATAATTTGAAACTATCAATCGTGGTTCAGTCTAATAGTCGATGACACAATTAATTGATCCCACATTCTGGTTTGATTCCCCACCCAACCAACCACTACATCAACAAACATACCACGTCGAGGTAAGCGATGGTTGAGAATGCACACAAATACAGATAAATAAGTATGTTTTGGCGTGATTTATTCTTTACCTCGATATGTACCTGTGAGTGATTAGTGCAAGATGGTCATTCTGAGTCATCATATAATAATTGTTGTAGTGACTAGATGATCCTTAAAAATATCATCCCTAATACATGGGATTTGCAACTGCTTGACTAAATTCATCAAAAGACTAAACTAATTGAATATTATTTTCCAGTCCTAAAGCATCAATGGGTAGATTCAAGTAAAACAATACTAAGTGAATTAAACTTTACCCCATTGCACAAGCAAGTGGCTATCAGGACTCAGTAGCTAAGTGGATAACGCGATTGCGTTTGAAGCGAACGGTACTGAGTTCGAGTCCCGGAGTGAACATCAGCTTTGAGATGCAGGTACATCCAGCTGACGAATCCCAAACAGGACGAAACGCGCGTCCTGGATTCCACTGCTAGCCACTATCCATCTTTGTTTGTAAAGTAACGTTGAAAAAATAAATACATTTCCAATTTCCGCAACACATTTAACACAGACTTAAAACTTATTTACAGACTAAACAATTTGCTAAACTAAAAATAGCAATACAATTCTGTAAAATAAGTAAACGCTTTTAAGTGAGTGGTGGTTTATCGATTAGTAATTCTAAACAACTGTGAAAGTTATAGTTTCACATGATACACAGTTGAATACAAAATTGACTTAATAATTATGAGTTGAATCCATCAAATGGTGTATAGTCTAACGCGGTATGGTAGGAAAACATTATTATTATCGTGATTTTTAAATACAATCCATAAGATGATTAAAAACATAAGAAAATCACAAACTTACTTTCTTGGAAATCATTATGGCAAAATACAATTGGGAATACTTCAGCATAATGAACTTCAAATTTTTCTCTAAATAACCACGGATTGACAACAACGAGAAAAAAGTAAAAGAAACACATTACTGATCATTGGGTAAAACATTTGTTTTAGAGATAACAAACTTGCAAAAAAACGGCATACATATTTACACAAGCTATCACACTATAACATAAACCAAGTAGGACTAAAGCATAGTGTATGCAATGTTAAGTTGATAAAACTAGTGGCTACTTGATCAACAGGACTCGGTTACCAATAAAGGAATAGATAGAAATGATACCGGTTACTATCAAATGACCAACCAACTGTAAATATTTCAGTACCACAGAAGATAGGTCGAAGCCCAGGTAGAACAGTGGGTGTCAGTCAGTCAATCAGCTACAACGTAGGACCAGTGGGTGACGCGGGCTCAAATTCCACAGGGTGAAACACTTTCTTCAAGATTACAGGTATGCGTTAGTGACAAGCGCCAGCTAGCACGAAACTTAGCCTCCAACAACCTAACAGGATTAAAGCTAGTAGCATATACACATATTAAACCTCGAAAATGACCTATCTCACAATCGCATAGCTTATCATTAAAAAAAGCTGGAAACATTGACATAAATATTTAAGCTTTCTAACAAACCAGTTTATAACTACTCAACGTATATTGATTACAATTACTTGGTTTCCATGACTAACTTTTGTACGATGAGAATAACAAACATTTGTGGATAAAATGAATTCATTTAATTTCCCATGACGTTACATCTTTACAAACAGTTAATTCCAGATATTCTTTAACACAGAATCAAAAGGCATTGCTTACTTAAGAACAACTTTTGATGATTGATAAAAAATTGATAATAACGATTCAATAGACCAATATATTATACATCATTATTTGACGCTAAAGATACGTTGACCAACCCATGAGTTTTTCATAAGGGAAACTATACCTCTGATATTACTACCTATTCTCCTCGATGGTAAAATATCAAAAAATGGAGGATACTCAATTTTATTTGTTCCAAACGCAAAATTAATTTTAAGATGAATGACGCTGAAAAATTTACTTGTCTTTTTCATGCAAGATGAATGTGTCATATATGCATCGGCTATATGAAGCCAGCTCATTGATTTTAATGAACAATAAGACCATTTTCTAACTTTCCATTAACACGTTGCCCAAGAAAGTTTTTGATAAGCCCGAGTGAACTGTTTAAAAGGGCATTCACACAGACAACAAATACGAATGTTACTGCTACCATTATCTTATATCTCGTTGACCTTCAGGAATATTATACTGAATACTACAGGGGAAAAAATTAAACAACTAGATGTTTCTTGTTTCAGATGTTCTTAGTTAGTACGGGACAAAATGAACACTTTAAAAACAATTAATATTTACTTTATCCAATTATATTCCTCTATGAGAGATAATTCATATACCATATTTCTAGCTTCTTCGTAAGATGGTTCCGTCAATATATGTCCATCATTAGCAAAAGAGAAACCTTTTGATTCTAATTCAGATAAAGTATTCGAAGAAAAATTTGGAGATGGACGATGTAAATGTTCAGGTGTGCTTGTCAACTGACTAAGATATTTATCAAACATTCTTATTATGAATGATGGGGTTTTTGAAAATGGCATGGATAATTTATGGAAAGAAGCCATATGCCGTGCTGCTACTTCAATAACTAGTGGAAGTTCTTGTGTAGTTAAAGGTCTGGACTGAAAAAGTTACAGCAAAAAGAGAAGAGAAAACTATAGTAATATAAAATTATGACATCAAAATGTCAGCATATTGATAAAGAATAATTATATGCGAAAATATTTATTAGATAAAGCATACACTGTACATTGAACGGATTTGGTAAAATGATCAAGAATAAAAATCCACTAAAATAGAACGAATTCATTAAACTCTGCAAATCTTGCTATTGATAACACTCTTTATTATTCACGGACGAGATATGCAATAATTTTGCACACTTTGAAGAATATAAAATCTCTTTTACGAAAGCCTTACCCTCCCCTTTTCACCACACACGTGGGTCAAGAACGACTGGAATGTGTTATAAATCGTTAGTTAACAATAAGCTCCTATAATTCATAGAGCTATTATTCGATCTCTACGTCGTCAGAGCAAAACATTAAACAACTTCACTAATGAAATATCAATTCGGAAGATCCAAGAAGTGCATTACAGAAACCATTATTTAACTAACAAAAGGCAATTAGGTTCATTTTACCTCAATAAATTCTTCAATTCGTCCACCGGGAAATACACCATGAAGTTTAGGCCCAATCCTTTTTTCCGAAAGTAATGCAAAATTAACTGAATCAGAGATAATCGAGTCTGTACAACTTCTCAATACTTCACCATATACTCGAATAAGTACTTTACGTGGTTCATTTTCCAAAGAAATAATATCATTATTTAAATATCCAATATATAGATAATTGCTTAGTCCACAACTCCTAAAATGAAAATAATCTAATTAAATAGTTGTATGGAATACAAATGTGATTATATTAACTACGCATTTGACAAAGTGATCAATACATTTTTCACATCAATTAAGAACAATTAGTCTCTTTAATCAATCTAAACAATGCAGTCAGAAGGCGAAGTTTTTTAGAACTATGTTATGTACTAGAGCAATAAATTATGAACAATTCATGTCTACAAACAATTTCTACTTTCAATAAATCTACCATGAACATGTTAATCTAATACTTCAGAATGGTGTGATCCATATCGTCTTACTTAATTATTTTTTATTTGTTTAATTTGACATTTACTATTTCACATATAAATAAATTAGAAAGTTTATATGTGACCGAATAGTCCAAAATTTAGTTTCTAATAAACTCTATTTTCTTATTTTATTACCTATATTATACACAATTGCTACCGTAAATTATGAAGATGATAATTTCCGAAATAATCTAAAATAGATAATTACACAGAATAGCCAATTTTCATAAAGCTTATTTAGTAGACAAATTACTCTATTTTTGAAATCAGGTTAAATATGATTGTTATGATGGACTGACTAAATTGATAAAATACTGGCAACTAACCGAATTGATTATTGTCCAACAAGATGAAACACAAATCTCAACAGAACAGAAATAACCCCCTCTTTAAACAAGTGAATTGTAAAGAAAATTAAGATCACCACTGAAAACTCCAACACACATTCAAAAAAGTACGACCATAAGTTAGTTATACGATATATGATAATCGCTGAAAAATTCCCATTATATTAAAACACAATTATATGAACGAAGAACATTCATTTCAATAGTTTCTCATCAGGTTCTATAATTATATATCCAAATTAATAATCCATAAAATTGGCCAGGTTTAAGGCAGAGTACATCATTGAGAATTGTAATAGATGAATCAAAAATTTATATATGAAAATTAAAAGGTCAACTAGATAGGTTAAGTGTAAGTCACAACAAATGAAAAAAGTATCAAAAATTGTTTATCATATCAAATTAAATCGTGAATTCACTTGGTATTGCTTTACTTGAATCTTCACATTGATGTTTAGAACTGAAATTGATCAATCACTTTTTGGCATATTTGCATACTGTGCGTATTGCCTCGATATTGCCTTAATTTACAAGCGTTATAATGTTGGGATGACCAATACGAACTGTTAACTTGAATCAGTGTATAAGTGAAATGAAATTGTGAGATCAATGTTCAGAATAAATATGGTCAACACGGGGTGAGAGAGAATAATGTCATTACAAATCGAAAATTACGTAATATGTAGAATAATATGAATTAGGTCAAATATAGTAGATAGGGGTGGATGCTGAATAAATTTCTCAAAAAGGTTAGCATGTGTAGTAATAATAATAATGACAATGGTAAGATGTGTGGATAGGATAAGCTAAGGATATCATCGTTCAGAAGAACGATGAAAGCTCCACGACCAAACCATCCAGCTCAGAGAACAAAACACCACCAAAATCATCCACCTGAGCTACAAATCTTCTCCACCATCTCAAGCTAAGGATATAGAAATGAACAATAATCAAGTTACGTCACCATATCATAAAACCGATTAGTAACTAGTTGGGCCCGAAGTTGGCTAGGGTAAAAGGAGCCGCTGAACATATTTCTTTTGGATACAAAACTCCAGATTTTTTATCCCAATAGCGATTGCTTCAGCTGTTTGAAGGATTCTCAGTCTGAAGGAATTAAGTAGACTGCCGTTAACACGATATATTATTGTAAAAGATTGCTCCATGTTGGCTGTATGTCCTGTTTGAATTCAACGATCGAAAATGGAGCTGTTGACAGTTTTAACTACACCTTTGCTTAACCACACTAAGAGGTGCTCACGAGCCCGAATGTACAAATTCCTAGAACATCTGCTAATATAACTCGCTCCACAGGGGCAGTCGAGTTGATAGATACAGAAAGAAGTGTCTAGTCTAGGCAATTTATCTTTCAACCTCGAAGTGATTGTTGGACATGTGGAAAACATTAATTGTAATTTACCTGTAATAAAAAGTTCTCTGGATTGATCCGTGTAACTTTAATCTTAGCATTTCACTAGGTGCATCGCTTCTCAATTGCAAGGAGATGCAATCTAGTGAAAAAAAACACTAATCGAGAGGATAATCCATGTTAGATTAGTCTATTTACCCTATACATATTTCCATTGAGCAATTTGAAGTTTTTTCTTAAAAACGTATTCCCACTCATTCAGTTGATTCCGGATTTTTAAAATTAACAAATGGTCTCCTTCACTACTTCGAGTATACAGAAAAAATAAATGTAGAGATAAAAAGATAACGGTTAGAATAACTGACATGCCCCCAAATGCCCTGGTATGGCCGAGAGCAGGGTGGGTTCGCCCTCCCTCTCGAAATGCTCTCACACGACCACGCGTATACAGCCTCTGCCAGGGTCAGTCAGTCAGCTACAACGTAGGACCAGGCACATATATGCATCGGTCTAAGTTGCCATACCTCATTAACACAACAAGATGAACACCAGATTCATAAAAAGTTAATTCAGAGGTGGTAAGAAAGATTGCATTTAAGGACATAGTACAGGAAGAAATAATTAGTTCGTAGAAAGAAAGATATGAAACGATTTTAATCTCTTAGTTTAAGGGAAGATAGAGAGTGTATACACCGACGGCATTGTGATCGATTATGAGCCATGTCACCAAGAGTTTCCAACCATTGGTTACGATAGTCACGCGGACTCCAACCAAGTAGTCTGCATCTACCAACATGGCTCAGACTAGAAGTTAGTGACTTCAAGCACTGATGCCACGTTTTGGTTTGGCCGCCCCTAACTTTTTTCCAACCATCCCGAACACCGGTCAGCATTGCACGTCGTGGTAATCGGTGTTTGGGCATACGTAACACGTGGCCCAACCATCTCAGTCGATGAAGATTCACAACCTCATCAACTGACTTACCATTATTCCCTAATACCATGCGTCGAACCACACTATTACTTATCCGGTGATCCCAACAGATGCGAGCAATATTTCTAAGGCATCTGTGGTCAGATACTAGTTGCTTACAAGTATCTTCTACTCTTAATGACCATGTTTCGCTGCCGCAGATTAAAACAGAACGGACCGCCGCGCAGTATACTCGTCCTTTTATTGATAGACGGATATCTCGCCTTCGCCATAGGTGACGTAAGTTGGCAAACGCCAAGCGAGCTCTTCGAATCCGTGCTGAGATTTCGTCAGACACCAACCCATTTGGGCTGACCAGACTTCCAAGATAAGTGAAGTTGTCAACGCGTTCGACTACTGCTAGGGAAGTCCTACTCACTGCCTTCTCGTGGCGGGGGTGTTGTTTACGAAAATGAGAAAACGAAAAGCGAATGTCCGGCGCTTTAACCTTATCCCAAACCAAATCAATGGTGCACATGGGCTCCAGTATCCTGAGGGAACAAATGGCGTATGAACCAATTTTCGGTCACCGGCTACCATGGGGCTGCATCTCCTTACGATGCTTCACTGCCTTGTGGGTTAGACCTTTAGGTCAAAGACTCGGGGTGTGGCTCCCTAGGATAACCAACCACCTGCCTCGGTCTGGGCACCCGGGCAGTATCACAGCCCACACACAAATGATGAACTGTCTATAATTATGGAAACTACTTTTCTTGCTTCAACTAACAATCAAATGATTCAAATTATTATTATTATTATTTACTACGCCATTATTCACCCTCTTTTATTCCTACTCTGTCTACAATTATTTTTTCGACTTATACAGCAGCTCGTCTATGGTGGAAATTCGACTGTATCTAAACGTTCTCGAGTCACTGCCTGGTTGAAAATTGTATGTTACCACCGAATATGAGTTCTGAAGCAGTTTTTCTGAAACCACGTGCACCATTCAAACTGGCTTCCTTCAACGTCCGCACGCTTATGCAGGTTGGATAACAGATAGGGCTGGCTATGTCTTTGGAAAGTCTTAATATCGATGTTTGCTGTCTATCCGAGACCCGTATTCAAGACTCTGGTGAAGTACTACATATTCGCTCTCCATCAGTCGCTTCAAAAAGTTTGTTCTACGTGCGCTTATCCGGAGACCCTGTGGCATCTTCGTCTGGTCTTGCTGGCGTTGGTGTCGCACTAAACGCTAGAGCTAAGGCAGCACTAATCGATTGGATCCCCATTAACATTCGGTTATGTGCTGTTAGATTAGAAAGTTCCATCAAAGTGAGAAGAAATCGGCGTGAGAAACGATGTCTTTTCGTCATCTCCGCCTATGCTCCGACAGATTGCAGTCCGGATGCAATCAAGGATGAATTCTATCACCAGCTATCTGTTCTTCTCCAGAAAACGCGTTCGACAGATAGTGTAGTACTAGAGAAGATCAGTTAACTGGTGGTAAAACGTATCCTTGATTGCATCCGGACTGCAATCTGTCGGAGCATAGGCGGAGATGACGAAAAGACATCGTTTCTCACGCCGATTTCTTCTCACTTTGATGGAACTTTCTAATCTAACAGCACATAACCGAATGTTAATGGGGATCCAATCGATTAGTGCTGCCTTAGCTCTAGCGTTTAGTGCGACACCAACGCCAGCAAGACCAGACGAAGATGCCACAGGGTCTCCGGATAAGCGCACGTAGAACAAACTTTTTGAAGCGACTGATGGAGAGCGAATATGTAGTACTTCACCAGAGTCTTGAATACGGGTCTCGGATAGACAGCAAACATCGATATTAAGACTTTCCAAAGACATAGCCAGCCCTATCTGTTATCCAACCTGCATAAGCGTGCGGACGTTGAAGGAAGCCAGTTTGAATGGTGCACGTGGTTTCAGAAAAACTGCTTCAGAACTCATATTCGGTGGTAACATACAATTTTCAACCAGGCAGTGACTCGAGAACGTTTAGATACAGTCGAATTTCCACCATAGACGAGCTGCTGTATAAGTCGAAAAAATAATTGTAGACAGAGTAGGAATAAAAGAGGGTGAATAATGGCGTAGTAAATAATAATAATAATAATTTGAATCATTTGATTGTTAGTTGAAGCAAGAAAAGTAGTTTCCATAATTATAGACAGTTCATCATTTGTGTGTGGGCTGTGATACTGCCCGGGTGCCCAGACCGAGGCAGGTGGTTGGTTATCCTAGGGAGCCACACCCCGAGTCTTTGACCTAAAGGTCTAACCCACAAGGCAGTGAAGCATCGTAAGGAGATGCAGCCCCATGGTAGCCGGTGACCGAAAATTGGTTCATACGCCATTTGTTCCCTCAGGATACTGGAGCCCATGTGCACCATTGATTTGGTTTGGGATAAGGTTAAAGCGCCGGACATTCGCTTTTCGTTTTCTCATTTTCGTAAACAACACCCCCGCCACGAGAAGGCAGTGAGTAGGACTTCCCTGGCAGAGGCTGTATACGCGTGGTCGTGTGAGAATATTTCGAGAGGGAAGGTGAATCCACCCCGCTCTCGGCCATACCAGGGCATTTAGGGCCCTGTTGTACCAATATTTTTGTGTTCAAATAAATAAATGCCGATAAAGCGTTTTATCATCATCAAAACATCGGATATCAAGGATGTGCAAACACTGAAATGATTAAGATTTGCGGCTCAGGTGGATGCTGTTAGTGTTGTTCAGTTCTCATAGCTGAAAGGTTTAATCGCAAAGCTGATAATGTCCAGAATGGCAATGAAAGCTCCGCAATTAAACCATCTAGCTCAAAAAACTAGACAGCAACACTATTATAATATACAGATGTTTGTGCGCTTTTGAAAAGATTCTTATATTTGAAGGAAACTATTTGATTAGATAAATATTTTTACTTCCTCATCAAATCGACCAGGTAAAATAAAACAGAATATATAAATATAAATATATATATATATATATATATATATATATATATATATATATATATATATCAAGATTACACTTGGCTTACTTCGATAGCTCAACACAGAAATTATTTGTATCAGACCAGCTTCCAGAGAGAATTTTTGAGCACTGAGTTTTAAGATGACCGACTATACTTTTTGTTATTTCATCAACTTTCAAAGGAATAGAATCTGGGCATGGAACACCGTCTTGGTCATCACTAGATAATGTAAACTTGACTACAGACATAGAATTCAATCAAAACACGTAGTTACGAATTTGAAATTTTAACGTTGTAGATATGAAGAACGTTGAAGGTGAATATAATTAACCTATGTAAATCGTAGTAAGAAACATTGAAACAGTTATTTACATTGCCTAAAAATGACAAGAACTGTGGACTAGTTTGAGTATTATGCTTTTCATCGAGATTAGTAAAGTTAAATTATAATCAACAAAATAACTACCTATAAATCAGCTACACAGACCATTGAACGTACAAGTCCACCACGAAATGCGCATGTCCTCAGGCTGAAGCAATAGCAACGCACTTGTCAATTTCTTTTTTCGCCTGTTACTCCTAATAGAGCATAGGCCGCAGACCAGCATTCTCCAACCCACTCTGTCCTGAGCCTACTTTTCTAGTTCCATACAATTCTTGTTCATTTCTCTCATGTCTATTTCCATTTCTCGGTGTAATGTGTTCTTTGGTCTTCCTCTTTTCCTTTGGCCTTGAGGATTCCATATGAGGGCTTGTCTTGTGACGCAGTTGGGTGCATTCCTCAATGTGTGTTCTATCCACTTCCAGCGCTTCTTCCTGATTTCTTCCTCCGCTGGGATCTGGTTTGTTCTTTCCCACAGTAGGTTGTTGCCAATAGCGTCCGGCCAACGGATCCGAAATATTTTGCGTAGACAACTGTTAATAAGCACCTGTATTTTCTGGATGATGGCTTTCGTAGTTCTCCAGGTTTCTGCCCCATACAGTAGAACTGTCTTGACAGTTCTAATAAACTTTAATGACAATGGATATTGTTACTGATTTCGGTTTTTACGCTGTTGACTTCCTATGTAAATGTAATAGGTTTGGAGTTAATCTAATAATGTTGTTCCTTGGTACCATGTAGATCGTTTATAGTTCCAACAGAATGAACAGGTTTAAAAATATTATGACTGTCCAATGCCAACAAACCACTTTCCCACCGAAGACTGATCAAGACAGTGTACTTAAGGCTCTTGGCACCTTAGACATGGAAAATTCAACGGGACCAGATGAACTTCACCCCAAAATCTTGAGACATATTTCACAATATGTCGCAGCCCCAATGACGGTAATATTCACTGTCGCTTGGCCAAGGTGTGTTACCTATGGACTGCAAGGACGTAATCGTCACTTCCATACATAAAACAGGACCAAGACAACTTCCATGGAACTACCGACCTGTAAGCATTACCAGTATTGTAGTTAAAATATTGGAAAGAATAGTTGAACAGATCATAATGACATTTGTGGAAACGGATAACCTGTTAAACAGGTGATATACTACACAAATCTGAATATATATTTAAGCACAATATAATAACTGTAAAGATGGAAAAGCATACGCCCCATATTTCATTTAGAATAGAATTTTGAACACGAAACATTTGATTGCTATTACTTTAAATACTATCAAATTTTTGATGGCTCTCAAGTGATAAATTTAGGCGCATGATAAGAAAATGTATGTATAATGTAACAGCCTAGTAAATATATGGTTGGTGTGTATCTATATAATCACCTACATTTGGTGGTAATTACCTTTGATATATATTAAGACATCAAACAAAGATTAACACAACTTTCTAAAGCCGGATCCTCAGATTTACAATGCAAGTGGGTACTTGTTACTTCGATCTTCAAGTTGTACATTAATGTGTAGAATATAGAGCACAATTAAGTGTATTGACATGAAGCACAAATAAGGAACTCAAAGAATAACTAACCTGTTAGTGCAACGAGCTGAGTAGAACCATGTGACAAAACGTTTAAATAACCATAAATACTAAGGACAACCTTGAAGGGTCAAACAACAACTGAGACCACAGATTCAAACTTCAAACTTCTCTGAACAGACTCAGCCGATTATTGTCTCCTAAAGTCTATGTCTTGATGGCAAGAGAGCGTCTTCGACTATGTAAATGAGTGATGTTTGTTATGCTTCTCATGAAAACGCAGAGCAAAACAAGTTGGCTGAGAATAGTAGAATTGATCCTGGTGTAATACTTGAATTAATCACTTTATGTACCGACGAGACTAAATTAAACGTCCAGGCTACTTAAAAGACTCCAGAAAAAGTCTCGTTTTGAAAAAAGATGTTGAGACTGAAAATGTTTCGTTAACTGAAGAATGTAGGTGGGAAGAGAAGTCTAAATTATACCGTTTGCATTATGTCGTCCTCTAACCCTCCAGGATGCACAGGAAAAAACATGTAACCATATTTTGCCACTGGTACTTTACTTAATATTAATGTGGATGCGAAGGTATCAATATCGGTGAATAAATATTCAAAATAAATAGTTCTGAATGTCTTCGACACTGATGCTCACCTCATTAGTTTTACTGGACACACCTAGTTGAAGGTACTCGATAACGCACCCGGACCAGGTCACGAGACAATACACAGTGCTTCGCATCCCTTGCAACCGTTGAGCAACTCAGACTAAACGCTTCTCGACATATAGGTAGCCTTCGAAACATATTTTCGATCTTCTCCGTTCGTGACATCTAATTCGACTTGGCTGGCGTATTTCCGTCATAAACGTGTTACTGGTAAAGGCACTTTCAATCTCTGAACACCGGTGGCATCTCTATATCTTTGTGCACAGTCCAATATCACAGTCAAGTCTCTTCGAAGAGGATCTCGCTTCAACAGCGTTGCATTCGCTCAGTGTCCTTTAGGGTTCAACTCCAATAGGATACGGACCAATGCTTCGGAGGTCTTCACACAACATGTTCCACTCTATGAGCAGCCCAGCCATGTGCTAATGATTTGTAAAAATGAAAGGCCATTTTAAGCAAGAGTGTATGAGATTGAAACAATTCCATGTTATGTACCCATGTGATCTATTTTTATTTGGTCCCTAAATATATCATTTTAACGTGCTCAGGAATTTTGTGATTTTCTTACGTAGTTTGTCATGAACGACATTGTTACTCATATCTCGCACTTGTTAAAGTGTGCTTGCTTTATGTGCTAATTATCCACACTTCAATTGTTTGTCACTGATTTATACATAGTTCGTTATGTGTGAAGACTGACTCACCCATCATTCATTGAGAGGAGAAGTATGCCTTCCTTGTCTCACAGTTCTTATTGTCTGTGTTCATTAATAAACGTATGAAAGATACCCAGAAAAATGCACTCTTATCTGACTCATTTTATTCTAGTACTTGTTTACGCGACTATGAACAATAATGGACTACCCAATCGACAAATTCGATCACTTTGTCACACAAAATGCAATTCAGACTATTCGCCATGCTTTTTTCGTAACCACAGTGTTCGTTATGCCAAGTTCTCAAACAAGCTTAACTCGTTAATTAAGTCTTCAATTTCTGTAACATTTTACTGAACGTTAGAAAGGGTTAAGAGATTAAGAATGTTGGAATCATCCGGTCGCAAAATCCGATAGAATTTGATGATACTACAAGTATTTGGAACTCGACAACACTCTAACTAGTGACACCTCCTATAATCGAAACTTGCCAACCCGGTGAAATCAGAAATCAGGAACGAAGAGGTTCGGAGATATATTTGATAGGCCATCGATGTATTGAGAAGTAACTGGTCTAAACACACTAGCGATTGAAGGAGAATTTGAACACGGAGTTGACACTCGTGATCTGGTGCGGATGTATGACCGAGCACCTTCAGTTAGGTAAGTCTATTAGAACTAATGTAGTCAGCATCCGTTGTCGAAGAATTACAGAGCTGTTGATTTTGAGATTTACTCACCGAAACGAATTCGGAATTCAACACAAATGACGAGAGGTAATGTAATCTGTGATGAAACATGCACTTCACGAAGAATCTATCTCGCCCTAAGTGTATCAACAAATATTGGTATTGCAAGTTCAACAACAGTGGTACTTATTTTTGATCTTAAAAATGTAGTTATTCCATGACACATTGTTCTGAAACATTTTTTGCACTATTCAGTTCATATGTTTTTATATCCATTCCCAGTTTTCTTCATTTACTCAAGGTTTATTTAACACAAAACGAATTTAAAGGTTTCCCTGTCTATTCTATGATATTTCTCCTAAACTTTTGTTGATTTGTTCACTTTGCATGAAACTAAATATTCAGAAGACGAAATTGAAATACGAGGGTTGGGATATGGTTGATAGTAATGGAGGTAAGAAGCAGCTGAAAGAACCATCGTTGGGTGTTTTCGGAGTACAATTTTTCCTTCGGTTGAATTTTGAGAATTCACTATTGTTCTGTTCAAGTAAACAAAATTAATTAAAACAAAATCAAGTCAGAATATATAAATAATAAGATACTAGACAAGGCTGTGAAACTAAAAGTTGGTTCAAGGCTAGAGGTGGTTTTTATGTAACTGACTACTAGAACAAAGATGTGAGAAAATTATGCCTGCACCTTCGTAGAATTATGGTTTAATTCGGTATTCGTCCTACTTTAGTAATAGACCCAATCCCAAAAATGTAGATTTTTCATGATGTGATTATCTAATCTATAAGACTTTACATGGAAGTCACATCGGTGTCTACACCGACTCGCCGTACGATGATCATCAGCACTTTGGAAGAACACATTCTCGCTGGGGATAGAATAGTATGTCTAATGTGGAAAGGTGTGGATTACACAAAAATTACCAAGCCTACAAGGCCGATCCATGCCATCTTTAATGTTTAACACCATTGTGGGCTTCTCTCCTTGGTAAATGTTGAGGATTGTGTGATTAAGACCAATACCGCTATACCTTCCTCCGGGTTCACGCGCATAGTATTCCTATCAATCAACTTATAGTGTGGTGCAGAAATCTAGTAGTTACGAATTATGATTTTATTGGCTTATCCTGTAAACATGTAATCTGTGGAAAGCGCAGAGAATACATGACACTATTTAGCAAATAACTAAATTTAGGGTCCTCACAGGATTTCACTTGTCATAAATGTTGGTCCACCGATTATTTCGCTTACTCATAAAAACTATTATACTCAACCAGCGCAGCGAAGTGCAGTT